GAGAAGTAGACATTTGTAAAAAATTATATTTGTAAAATCTCAGCGAGATTGAAATGAGTAATTCCAAAGTTTTGTTATTGTTCACTTTACATGTCTTGTTCTCATACCCAAATAAGCGTCGATCGATATTGGACAAAAAGTTGAGAAATGGTAGGGCACTTTATACACTAAAACCTCACATGGTTTACTGTGATCAGCCAGTTATAAACTCGGATAAAGAAGAATACGTAGGAGTGGAACTTGCGCAACTCCTCTTCTCTGGAAACTTAATCCGATCGCTAAAGAAACTTCGAAGTACGTAGAAGAAAGATAAACTTATTCTTTGCTGGAATCGGAGAGATGAAATGGCACAGGCTGGTGGTGGTGAAAGCCTTTCGAAAGCCAGTCAGTCGATGTGTCCTTTAATTGGACACCTAGTTAGTAACTAGTCCAATGAGTCTAGTCCGTTGTTTGGTACTGACTGAATTCCGTCAGTCAGTGAAGTTTGCAATGTGGCCAGTGGTAACGTCGTCTCTGACTGCATCACTGGGGGGTAACATGGATTCGAATCTCAGAACAGACATGAGTTGTTCCTACAAGGTTGCAGGTACGCCTTGCTGACTGACTGGTAAGTGCCAACTAGTACGAAACCTAGGTGCCAGCAGAGCTTCCTGCCGGTGGCATCTGACAATCTAATATCAACAATGTTTCTTCTCTTAATCGACGCAAAAGTAAGTCTAGATAAATGGAATATCTATAATACACAAAATAATTGAGCCAGCAAAGAATATCCCCTTTTCGATAATTTCCTCCCCGTCTGGCTCTACAATTATATATACATAAACATGTTTATATGCATAGAATATTCTAGATTAGTAGTCAATAACAATATTAGTGTTTTCTTTTAAATAATATCGATTTGTAAAGTAAGATCACAATGGAATCACCACAGTTCATTAAAGATGCTTAAATTATAATAATAATAATAAAGATATAGTAGTAAACAGAATATCAACTGAAATTAGGAAAATTCCACAAAAATTCAGGATCATTCAAACGTAGATGGCCAAGCGGGTAAGGATAATGTCTGAACTAGCTTCTTTTGGATGCACAAATTAGGCTTCTTAATATGCATCCCAAAAGCCTCATCATACCAACGAATCTCAATTTCGCCTTATAAGTTCGACTACGAAATATTGCTGAGGCTGGCTGGCTATTGGAATGCATATTAGGAAGCCAAATTTGTGCGTCCAAAAGAAGCTAGTTCAGACATTATCCTTACGCCCTTGGCCATCTAAGTTTGAATGATCCTGAATTTTTGTGGAATTTTCCTAATTTTAGTTGATGTTCTATTTGATAATGATGGTGATAATAGCTTTATTCCAAAACAGTACTTGCGATACAGAATGGAATTCTCAGCATCTCACTACAGTATTGCATCCAGTTAGTAAATTAACAATAAAATAAAATTCTACATAGATTAAGGGTAATCTCAGTTAGTTTTCACAACAACATATTAGCATGTCGGTAACAAAGCCAAAAACTGAACAGAGTGTTTGAAAGTGTTAGAAAAGTAGATGCTAGCGTGTTTACCGGGGTAAGCCGTAACAAAAAGGTCGAGATATACAGAGTGTGAAAGAACGAAGAAGAATGTTTGAAATAGAGTTTGTAAGGAAGAGAGAAACAAAACAGCACATAACAAAAAAAAAAGAGAGAGAAAACATTGTACCTATAAATGATATGAGGAATTGGAAAGACGAAATCCAGTTGTTCTACTGACTATTTAATAAGTTATAGGTTTCACGCCTAATGCTTTCTTTATCGCACAGAACACGAGCTAAGTAGGGTATGGTTGAGTTTTTGTGCTTACTAGTGCGAGCATATAGTTTTCTATATAGGCTTCTGGCTTTGCCTCATTTTCTCATCATTAGATAAAGGTGCTGAGTACGTCAGCTGCACGTTTCTCGACTTCACTTCTGCTTTCGACTCTGTACCTAGATGTCTCTTGCTAAATAAGCTCTCTATGACACAAACTGAGTCCTCGGTCACTAACTGGTTGCATTCCTACTTCTGTAACAGAATGCAGTGCACTGTATACAAAGGCAAATCATCCTCCGCTGTGCTCATTGAAGCTGGTATCCCCAAAGGTGCTGTACTCTCCCCACTTCTCTTTTCTTTCTACATGACTTACCATCTTCAAATGACATTAATTTTATCAAATATGCTGACGGCCTGACTGTATCTTTCTTTGCCTGTCAAATGTCAAAGTGACTGCACTAAACGAAACAGCCAATGGTCCAAGGAAAACGGTCTAACCTTAAACCCCTCCAAATGCCAAACAGTGAATTTCAACTTTAGGCACAAATCTGACCTAAACAAACTGGTTAGCAATCACGAGGTGTGCAACATTGATGGCACTGAAATAGAAACCAAGTCGGAAATTAAATACCTAGGAGTCATTCTATCTTCTGATATTTCCTGGTCTCCTCATACCTTGATGATTTGTAAGAAAATATTCCGTCTTACCTTCTACATCAAGAAGTTAAGACATCCTGGAATAACCAATGTCAACCCTTACTCCTACAATTCGTTAACTCCCGTATTCTGCCTATTATTCTCTATTGTTCTCCCTTAGTTTTTCCAGGGCTGGCTACTGAAAAAAGACTATAGTTTGCTATGCAGGATGTTGAAGGTTGTCAGCAGGGTAAGCAATGTGCCACTTAACCAGCTTGTTAATATTCTGGTTGACAGGCACATGGAGTCATGTGAAAAATGGGCTAAATCCATCCTATCTAACTCACACCATCCTCTTCATCACTCACAACTCTCCCCTTGTATCTCATCAGCCAGAACCAGACCAGAAGCCTATATAGAAAACTATACGCTCGCACTAGGAAGTACAAAAACTCAACCATACCCTCCTTAGCTCTGGTTCTGTGCGATAAAGAAAGCATTAGGCGTGATAACTATAACTTATACAAAATAGTCAGTAGAACAACTGGATCTCGTCTTTCGAACTCATATGATTTAGAGGTACAACGTTTTCTTTCTTTCTTTTCCTTTTCTCTGTTATGTGCTCCTCTGTTTCTTTTTTCCGCTTACTCCAGTAAACACGCTAGCATCTACTTTTCTAACACCTTCAAACACTGTTCAATTTTGGCTTTGCCGACATGTTAATTAGTTGTCATAATGAATTGAGATTTCCTTATTCTATGTAGAATTTTCTTTATTGATAATGTACTAACTGGATGAAATACTGTAGTAAAATGCTGAGAATTCCATTCTGTATCGCAAATACTGTTTTGGAATAAAGCTGATTATTATTATTATTATTGGTAGTAGTAGTATCAACGGAAGAAATAGGTTACCTCCTGCACACCGCCTACACTTATCTAGCCTAGGCAGCCAACATCACACACGAAGATGTGGAAACCAGCCAGCCAGAATCGGAAAGGCACGATACAACTTCATCAACCTGAAACCAGTTTCAAAATCTTCTGCTTCACTCCGCACAAGTATAAAAACAACAAGATTCGAATGTTCAACACAAATGTCAGTGAAGTCAATCAGTCACTTCTATACAGGTCAGAAACTTCCACTGCGCATGCGCCATGAAAAGATTCTCCAACAGGTCACTGCAGACTTCTGCAAACTGGTGCCACACCTCGCTGACTGTCTTCATACTCAAGATCAAATGGCCAGTCAACCGGGAGGTCAAAAAGAATTAGCACCAAGAAATTCTGGCTGGCGATGAAGACAAATCAACTGAAAGCCGCCGATTGCCTAACAAATATGCAGGAAAAAATGGAGATGGATGGATCGGACGTCTGTCTGTTTTCGACATAGAACTTTGCACATTTGTGCACCAGTTCAATTTGCCACACGCCCTTCATGTAGCACACAAAGCAAGAGAAGAAAGTACAAGAAAAGCATTATAGAGACAGTAAGCAGAGGTGTGAGACAAAAGAAGAGTTATAACAAAGAACAATATAGTTTCCTCGGAAATCATAAGTCACAAGAAGTGGATGGATCTGCACCAGCCATTGAGAACAATCACTTTGAGCCATGTCACCAATTGTTTCCAACCATTGGTTTTTTCCAACCCGAGGACCCCAACCAGCCTGGAAGTCTACACCTTCCTACGTGGCTTAGACTAACTGTTGTAGATTTCACTGACTGGTGAAGCCATGTTTTTGTTTGACCTCCGCTAGCTCTTTTCCAGCCTGACCCTATGTCAGCTAACATTGACCGTCGAGGAAGGCGGTGACTAGTCAGGCATACGTAACACATGTCCTAACCATCTCAGTCGATGTAACTTCAAAACCTCGTCGATTGATTTCCCCTCCTCCTTACCTAGCACTCGACCGAGGCCTAACCTCAATATTGCTCACCTTATTACACCACTTCACGCGGGAGATAGAACGCAGGCACCTATGATCAAAGACAGCGAATCTTTTCATGTCTTCCACTCTCAATGGCCATGTTTTGCTCACAGCCATAGAGGAGGGCGGGGCGGACTGATGAGCAGTACACTCGCCCTTTGGTTGTTAGTCGGATATCTCGTCTACTTGGCCAGAAACGGCGTAAACTGGCAAATGCGAAACGAGCCCCCTGTATTCGTGCTGAGATTTCGTCAGCGATCTCAGACGTATGTTGAGAAAGGCTAAGGCTGTCGAATGACATCGCACTCAATACAGGCCATTGCGCGAGTGGAATCCCAATGAGAGGCAACGAACGAGTGGATAGTCGGTGCTATTGCGACATTAGAGGAGATCGTGTCGGGAGGTTGGAGGAAGAGGACGAGATGAAAGACTATGGGCAATCGTTAGGCCAGACAGCTGAAGAGGACAGTGTAAAACAGAAGAAAAAGGGGAAATGTGTTGCTGAAGCCCTATGTATGTTCCACTCGAAACGCAAGGGAGTAAATAATAACTGGTTCGGAACAGATACCACAGTATTCGAACTCACTATGAGCCTTCTTCAGAAGTTCTTTTTCTGAGAATTGTTACGAAAAATCAATAAAGAATAAACAATATACACTTTTTTATATCCATAAATTAAACAAAAATATATACATTACTTTTCGACAGTTAGTTACAGCGAGAAATCATTTTCAATAAATAGGTATTACATATACAATATATTATATATTACACCGGTCACCATGATTGCATGATCGCAGATTTATCTTTTTGTACAATTAACACTGTCATGGTAAATTTTGATATGTGTACAATGCACACATAATTTATTCACATTATTGATTTTTTTTTTAAAACATAAGAGAAAATCAATATGCGCTAGGCATTTGCTTCTTCACAGGCATCAATCCAATCATTGTAGACATCGATTTCTTGACTTAGATAATTGATTTTTGTTTGAAAGTCTTCTAGGCATATAGTACACTTAATGTATCCAACACTGTTATCACGATTTCTGTAAGTAAGTAAGTCAAAATAAATAAATAAATAAAGGATAGAAGGCGAGAACTTACAAAACAACTTCACATGACCGACCATGATTACAGAAGGGACAGTTGAATACTTTATCCAGTGGTACAATAGGTTTTCGTTTCGGTGGTGGTTTATTAGTACTTCGACGTCGACCCATAGGATAAAGGAGTTATTCACAAAAGACTCCTCCTAGAAGTCTTGAAAGAGTATATAATCTATATACAAAATGGAAAGAGGAATTTATTATACAGAAAAAATATATACATAAATATATTAGGATATAAACGATTTCTAATCAATCATCATATCCAGTAGCGAAGTAGAGTTTTCTAAACACCTTGAGCTGCAATCTACGAATGTTTGGCATGCGATTCACCCGCCCCGCCATATGCAAGATGATGTTACAGGACTGGACTACACCAACTCCTAGATTAGAAATAGGAAGTGAAGTGGTAAAGCACGTTGACCGCACGTTCACTTATTTGGGAAGTACCATCAGCCAGCTAGTCCAACGGGTTGATCGCTGACGAAATCTCAGCACGAATACAGGGGGCTCGTTTCGCATTTGCCAGTTTACGCCGTTTCTGGCCAAGTAGACGAGATATCCGACTATCGACCAAAGGGCGGGTGTACTGTTCATCAGTCCGCTCCGTCCTCCTTTATGGTTGTGAGACCTGGCCACTGAGAGTGGAAGACATGAAAAGACTAACTGTCTTTGATAATAGATGCCTGCGTTCTATCTCCCGTGTGAAGTGGCATAATAAGGTGAGCAATATTGAGGTTGGGCCTCGGTCGAGTGGTGGGTAAGTAGGGGAAATCAACCGACGAAGTTGTGAAGTTACAAAGACTGAGATGGTTAGGACATGTGTTACCTATCCATGCCTAGTCATCGCCTTCCTCGACGGTCAATGTTAGCTGACATAGGGTCAGGCTGGAAAAGAGCTAGCGGTGGTCAAACAAAAACATGTCACCAATCAATGAAATCTTCAACAGTTAGTCTAAGCCACGTAGGAAGGTGTAGACTTCCAGGCTGGTTGGGGTCCTCGGGACGGTAAAAACCAATGTTTGGAAACAATTGGTGACATGGCTCAAAATCGTTCTCAGTGGCTGGCTGATGGAGATCCATCCACTTCTTGTGACTTATGATTTCCGAGGAAACTATATTGTTCTTTGTTATTACTCTTCCTTTGTCTCACACCTCTGCTTACTGTCTCTATTATTGTTATGTACTCGTCGCTAAATTATTGTTATGGACTGGTCGAGAAACTAATAGTCCTGACGCAAGAAGGAGGAAATCAGAAGACCACTAGGGTTGCGATGATACTTCTATTTTCCAAACACAAGGAGACACAATAAGTGGTATCACACCAACGTGTAAGTTACACAAATTGTGAGAACGAAATATATATATGACAAGGGTGTGAACAATCATTAGACAGTCTTAACATGAATGGCTAATTATAATGAAGTATCGATCCATATATACATAGCGAAATATAGCAGACATGTCAACAACCACACATATAATATGGATATATGTCACCAAGCAACGGACTGTCAACAAACACTCATATTATATATAATATAATATAAGGAGAATATACATTGTTAAAGCAGACAGGTTCATACAAGTGAAATGGTCACAGACTAAGCGAGCAAACAGAAAGAGACCAACATACACACATATATATATATATATATATATATATATATATATATGTGGATACATATCAATTATGCTTTTCTTGTACTTTCTTCTCTTGCTTTGTGTGCTACATGAAGGGTGTGTGGCGAATTGAACTGGTGCACATTTGTGCAAAGTTCTATGTCGAAAACAGACAGACAGACTGTAGTGAAAAGTTAAAATCTATTAGAAAAATCATGCATCTCTATTACTCAATAAGAGATTACAATGATAAGTATAAGCTGTTAATGCTGAAAATTTTTATCAGTGATAGATCGCTAGTCAACCAAAGTCGCGCTGACATTCGGGGTTACCTCCATTAGTACATGCATGTATGATGAAATTAAAAACAGAAATGTGGATAGTGGTCATAAGCGACTTAGGGGAATTGACTTGCTACCACCACCAGGGAATAATTAGTCTCGGTGACCTAGAATATGCGGATAATAATAATAATTATTTACTTTATTCCAAAAACAGTACTTGTGATACAGAATGGAATTTTCAGCATTAATCACAATATTGCATCTAATTTCCTCAAATTATAAATTAAAAGTAATCACACAGAAAATTTTCCACATTTACAATAGAGGTAGTGTCAGAAACATGCAGCGTATAAAGTGGAAATAACAATAATAACAACGATAACAGCTAGGGTAATAATAATAAGAATACAAGTGAAAATTACTGCGGGTTTGTTTCACACAGTATTGTCAATGCGGTATAGAAATCCTAACATGTTTAAAAATATTGAATATAATGTTCTCTTTACATGATATGGTGAGGAGAAAAACAAAGATTACAGCCGTCATGGAGATAAGTTGGTGTTTGCAATTATGAGAGTAAAAAACACAGAGAAGTAACAGGACCATAAATATAGTGGAAATAATAAAAGTCGAACTTGAAGGTATATAAGGATGGATGGAGGAAATTGTTTATTTACTAGATGAAAAAAGGATAGTTAATTCTTGCCTGACACTATTTTCATCACATAAAATGCGTGCCAAGTATGGTATTATAGAATTTCTGTGCTTATATGTGCGAGCATACAGTTTTCTGAAGTTACTTCTTGTTCTAGCTGAGGAGATGCAAGGTGAAAGCTCAGGGTAAGGTGGATTCTCCAAGTCAGACAAAATCCCTTTAGCAAATTTATTGGACGAAGTCAAGTGTCTATCGACAACGATGTTAACTATGTGGTCCATTGGGACACCACTCACCCTAGCGACTGATGGTCTTCAGCATTCTACGAATTGTGACATAGTCCTTTTCAAGCAAACCAGGAAAGAATAAGGGTGAACAATAAAGAAGCATAGGTAGGATGTAAGAGTGTGTAAACTGCAAGAGGATGGGTTGAGTTATACCTGAGTGTCTTAACTTCTTAATGTAAAATGTCAGGCGGAATATTTTACTGGAGATTGCCAAGACATGGGAAGTCTAGGAGAGATCAGAAGAGAGAATAAGTCCAAGATACTTAATTTTTGATATGACTCCTATATCATTGTCGTCAATTTTACAACTGTCATGAGAATCGATGACTTCTTTTAAATGTCTTTGACATCTTAGGCTGAAAGTAACAGTTTGACATTTAGAAGAATTCAGTTTAAGACCGTTAGACTCAGACCATTTGCTGACTCCTGATAGAAAGCTATTTATTTTGGTACAATCTACCTGGGAGTTAACAGCCATTGAGACCGTTAAATCAACAGCGTACTTCACAAAGTTTATTTCATCAGAGTGAGGCAAGTCATCCAATAAGAAAGAAAAAAGAAAAGGAGATATAATCTTTCTAGGTGAAGACGCTGACAAAATGCAGACACGGTCTCACCTCAACACCTTGAGGAAGTGAGCAGTAGTCATCTTCGAAAGTTTGGCATGCACTTCACTTCTGTTGTAAAATGTAACCCGATGAATGCTCCATGACTGTACTACATTTATTCACTCATAGCTTAAAGGCAGACAGGAGTGGATTGATATCCAGCTGACTATCGACCAAAGGGTGTGTGTGTGTGTGTACTGCTCGGCAGTCACCTCCGTCCTCCTTTAAAAGGCTGACAGACAGGCGGTGGGACATGGCCATTAAAAGTGCAAGACAATTACAGGCTAGCTAGCAAGCTGTGTTTGATCATAGGTACTTATGTTGTATCTGTCTGTCTGGATTCAACATAGAACTTGCCACCGAAGTGCACCAGTTCCAGTTCCCACGTTCCAAATAGCACACACAAAGGTAGACAAGAAGATGAGTGAAAACAATCAATAGAGTTTGACAGGTACAAGAGAGAAACAGAATGGGTAATGGTAGAAAGGAATATGAAAGATTACAGAGACTGAATACATCTGCGCCATTGACAACGATTTTTAGCTATGTCACCTATCGTCTCCAGCCATTGATTCCTAGAGTTCCGAGGGCCCCAACCCGGAAGTCTGCATCGCCCTCCCTACCTGACAGAGTTTAACTGTCAAGGATTTCATGGATTGATGAGGCCATGTTTTCGTTTGACCACCACTCACTCTTTTCCAACCTGCACCTATATCAGCTAGTAATGCCCGTGATCGGGGGAGGCGATGGTTAGGCATGCGCACCACCTGACCTAGCCATCTCAATCTATGCAACTTTATAGCCTCGTCGATTGATTTTCCCTCTTTGCCCAACACTCTACGCCTAACGTCAACATTACATACCTTATTAAACCACCTAACGTGAGACAGAGATCGTAGACATCTATGATCAAAAACAGTCAACCTTTTCATGTCTTCAACTCGTATTGGCCGTGTTTCAGAGCCATAGACAAGGACGGAGCGAACTGGTGAGCAGTAAACACGTCCGTTGGTTGGTTGATAGCCGGATGTCGCACTTACGTTAGAGATGGTGAAAGTCAGCGAAAGCAGCTCGAGCTTTTTGGATCCGTGTTGAGATTTCGTTGCCAATTAGTCCGTTGGTGCTGATACAACTTCCCAAATAGGTGAAGTGGTCAACATGTTCTATCACTTCACTCCTTATCACTTTACAACACAGTATGCTCGTTAACCTCCAGTCAAAAGTATATAAGTATCCTGCTCGGCATGTCAACTCCAACTGCATTTACCAATTCATCTGAAATTGCAGCAGCAAGCACATAGGAAGGACTGAGAGGAAAAGGGGGTCTACTAGATTCTCCGAGCATATACTTTAGAGTATTCGTTTGAATGGTAGCAAAGTCTTCTCAGGTGCAAACGCCAGACGCCTAATTGACCGACACAGGACATACACAGTAAAATTAGCCTGTAGGTTTTCAAAATAATCAATACACAAAGAAATGCATGGTTCCTTTGGTTCTCAAAAGCCATTGCCATCAAAAGAATTCCATCCAACGTATGCATATAGAAACACAGTGGGACTAATCTCTCACTACCCCACCTAGTAACCGTAATTATTTTGTTCGTGAGATTGTGTTTTGTTTTGTTTCGTCGCATAAATGACATTCCACTCAATCTTGATTTTTACTCACTCACTGAGTTGAACTCACTATTCAGTTCCCGAATCTACCAAAATTA